GCATCCCGTGCGTCGCGCCAATTTTCCAGAAGACTCAGCTCCACGCCCTGCCCCGCGTGTGCTCGAGGGAATGTGCGCGGCAGCTGGCGAAAGGTTTTTGCGAGCAAAGCGCAGGTTGAGACCGAGCCTGGGCGATGGCGTCGACGCCGGCTATCTCACCGAGGCCGCCCTATCGCGGAAGCCCATCGGCAGCAGCGGCGCGCAGATGCACGACGACGTTGGATCCGCAGTGTCGGCCCCTCGACGCCCTCGACATGATCCCCGCGGTCCAGCTCCCAACCTCTCCTCGACAGGAGTGGTGGGCAGCGGGTGGCGTGATCGCTGCGATGCCGTCGCCGCGGCTTTGGCCTACTATGTCGACCTGCGCTAGCGCATGGGCGACCATCTACCGCGCGCACGTGATCCGTGCAAGAAGAGCTGCGTCTTCGGATGCTGCCCCAAACGCAGCCATCCCGACTCGATGGCGCACTGCATGCAGTGCAAGAGGCTCTGGCACCACCTCGCCTTGCCCCGCGGCCAGCTCGAAGCCGACGTCCTGGTTCGCCTCGGCCTCGCGGGCAACCTGCCCGTCGGCGAGCACAGCGTCCCGAGCGCCGCGCCGCGCGCCGCCGTGGCGTGCCGCTCGTGCTATCTCCTCCGCAGCAGCGGCCTGCCCTCCGACGACAGCAGAGCTGCACTGCCGCAGGAACGTCGGCGCCGTGAGGGCCACTCGATCCGCCCTGAGGCTCCGCTGCCACCTCTGCGGTGCCATCGCCACCTCAGGCTCGTTCCCCTCCTCTGCGACTTCCTGGTCACCACGTTCACTTCATCCAGCCACAGGCTGAGGCAGGGGAGTCCCCTGAAGATCGGGATAACGGCACGGCGACACATCCTGAAGCTCTTCTCCCCTCTTTGGTGCAGTCCTCTCGCCCTGCCGTGTCGCAGGTTAATGGCTCTGCTGCTACTGCCGCCTCTGCGGCAGCATCGTCGGCGTCTGGTCTTCCGCCTGTGTACCATGGCGGCGCAGCACCTGTCGGTCAGCATCACCCTGGACCACATCATCCTCCTGGCGCTCATAGACAGCTACTCCGTCCCCATCGGTGTCCGCAGGGGGATCCCAGAGTGCTACTCCGTCCTCGTTTGCCTCCTCGTGAGCGCGCTGCGGGCCAAGGGTGTGTGTTGGGTCCCCAGGCTGCTTACACTGGGCCTTGGGGTTCGAACGAGTCGCCGCAGTGGGAATCGATACAGCAAAACACTTTGGACGCGATTAACTTGCTGATTCCCCACATCCTCCCACCATCGTCGGCGACCTCCACGGCGACGCCTGCTTCATCATCTCCGCCAGCTGCTCCACCCGTCGTGGGCTCTAAGCAATCTAGCCACCCAGCTGCTCTTGAGCCTGATCAACTTCACCTGGCGCTGCTCATGCTCCACACCCTCTTCCCCACCCTCGTGGAGGACAAAGTGGGCCTGATTACCTGGCTACTACTGCATCTTAGCAACCTGCTAGAAGAAGATCCGTCTGGTGCTGCGGATGCTCAAGCCGCTTTTCACGACGAGCAGTTTGGACCTCCTGATGACGATCTACAAGAGGAGGCGGAGGATTCTGAGTTCCTCCCGCTTATTCACGAAGCTGACAACTGGCCGACGGACATGGCGGAGTCCGACCCGACCTTCCTCGAGCTAGCAGCGGAGATCGCTGGAGGTGTTTTCCCTGACCATGTACCTGATGTTCATCACGATCTTGACGACCTCATGGGCGTCCACACCGACGACGGCGGCGACATCGAGAACCTCCACGTCGGCAACTCCCTCGACGTCAACACGATGGCCTTGAGAGGCATCGAGGCGGGCGCACGCGCGGCCGAGCGCGAGCGCGGGTGATGAGGTGACGAGACGTTTTGGGACGCTCGCTCCTCCTCCTCCTCCTTTTCCTTCTGATGCTCCCCATCTCTGCGCCGTCTTCCTCCCCTCTCCTCCTGCCGCTCACCCCTGCCCTCCCCAACCAACCTTTCCCCTCACCCTTCCCCCTCGCCTGGGGTTCCTCTGGGTTCCGCAACTAACCGATCAACCTTTCGCCGTTCCCTTCCCCCTCTCCCCCCTGCCCGTTCTCCCCCTCCCTCTCTGGAGTCTGTCTTGTAGATTCCGGGGCCCGCTGATGAACTGGCCGGTCTGGGGCATCGACCGGGCTCCCATATCCTGTCAGTCAGTGCTTCACATTTGTTCTCGTACAATACAATGGAGACCCATGCCAAAAAACACCCTGCTCGCCTCCAGGGTGCCCTGGGTTTCTTGGGTTTCGATTTTTTGCTTTGAAAGGCGTGACGCTACCACGCCAAAAATCAATGGACTTCCTGCGGTTTCAGGGTTGGGTTTTCTTGTGGAAGGTTTCTTGTGGTCGGGCCCCTACAGTAGTCTCGCATCGCTCGCTGTGTTTCTTCACGCCGGGGATTTACTAAGTGCACGTATCCGTTGGTTTAGGGACGTGTCCACGAGGATCTCACGGAACGCTGGATGTGGATAGCCTCCCGCACTCTTCGGGGCGGTAATTAGGTATCCACACCGACCGTTCCGCGAGAGCCTCGGGGGAGAGCCTCCCTGGGTTTCATGGGTTTCGATTTTTTGGCTTTGGAAGGCGTGACGCTTCCTCACCAAAAACCAATGGACGTCCTGCGGTCTCAGGGTTGGTTTTCTTGTGGAATGTTTCATGTGGTCGGGCTCCTACTGTAGCTAGAAGTGGCACGAAGAGAATCCCAGCGTCGCGCGGTGCCGCGCAGCGGACTCTGACGCGTTCCCTCTGAGGCGCTCAGGGGTCAAGAGGAGAATGGGCAAGCGAGCTCTCGGCTTCGGAGGCAGCCAGTGCCAGCATAACAAAAGCTTCTCAGCGAAAGCGTTGGAACGGATCTTGGCGCACCCACGGGGGAACGCAGAGGGGGCGGGCCTTCTCAGAAGGTTCGGATGGCCGCTGGCCTTCCGAGAAGCTTTCTCCAGCCGGAGCGTTGGATCTTGCAGGATCCTGCAGAACCAGGGGTGCATTGACCCGGGTTCGGGTGCAGGGTCCTGCAGAACCAGGGGTGCATTGACCCGGGCTTGGGTGCAGGATCCTGCAGGATCCTGCAAGATTTTGCCGGATCCTGCAATGCCCGACTGACCCGGGTTTGCATTGACCCGGGTCAGTAAATCCCCGACTGAAGCTTCTCTGGAGCCACAGGGTGCTGTTTCCTAAGGCCTGACGGCTTCAGAGAAGGAGGAGGAGGAGGAGGAGGAGGAGGAGGAGGAGGAAGAGGAGGAGGAGGAGGAGGAGGAGGAGGGCCCTCTGAGAAGGCTGGCCCCCTCTCACTTGGCCCGCTCGGCGCGCCACCGGACGCTTGAGAGGGCCTCAGGAAGCCCCTAAGAGGCCCCAGGACGCCCCAAGAAGGCTCAGGAGGGCCACCTCTTCTCCCCCCTCCCCCTCCTCATCATCGTCCTCCTCTCCCTCTCTTCCTTTCCTACTTATGTTTCTTATTTTGCTCCCCCTTCTCCTCCTCTTCCTCCTCTTCCTCCTCGAGCAGCTCTTCGGAATCGGCTGCTGCTGCTGCTGCTGCTCCTCCTCCTCAACCTGGCCCCGTGTGTGTGTGTGTGTGCCCCGCATGCGCACCAGCTGCACACGCGTGCGGCACTTCGCGCGGCCCCGAGAAGCCCCGTCGTCGAGGCCCCAAGACAGCCCAACCGGGCCCAGGAGGGCCGTTCCTCCTCCGGCCCTCTTTGCTTTCTCCTCCTCCTCCTCCTCCTCCTCCTCCTCCCCATCCTTCTCCTCCTCCTCCTCCTCCTCCTCCTCCTCCTCCTCGACCTAGCCCCGCGTGCGCGCCCCCCCCGCGCACCACCTGTACATAACGTGTGGCACTCCGCGCGGCCCTCCTGTGCGGTGCCCTTCCGCGGCGCTCTGGGTGGCGGCGGCCGCGGCGCCCTCTGGCCCGGCCCGCTCCGCGAGGGACGGCCGGCAGCAGTGCTCGGAGCCTCCGCGGCCCGCCGCGGGCCGGCCCTCTGGCGGCGCATGGGACCCCCGGCGAGGGTCGGGGGCGCATGTGGGCAGCGCGGGCGAGACAGACAGAATCGTGTCCGTGCAACTCCTGAGGATATCCGACACGAGGAGGAGGAGGAGGGAGGAGGGGAGGAGGGAGGAGGAGGAGGAGGAGGAGGAGGAGGAGGAGGAGGAGGAGGAGGAGGAGGAGGAGGAGGAGAGGGAGGAGGAGAAGGAGGAGGGAGGAGGAGGAGGAGGAGGAGGAGGAGGAGGAGGAGGAGGGGGAGGAGATGGAGGAGGAGGAGATGGAGCAGGAGGAGGAGGAGGAGGAGAAGGAGGAGGAGGATGCAGGAGAGGGGATAATGTTATGGGATGACCATGCAGGAGGGGGATCACGAGGAGGATGAAATGAAGGACCAGGCGGAGAAGGAGGATGACGACAAGGAAGAGGAGGAGGACGAGGAGGAAGAGGAGGAGGAGAAGGAGGAGGAGGAAGGGGAGAAGGGGGGAGGATGACAGAAAGGAGGAGGTTGAAGATGAGGGGGAGCAAGTGGACGACGACGACGACGACGAGGTGAAGGACCACCTGGATGCTGCTGCTGATGATGATGAGGATGATGATGATGCTTATGCTGATGCTTAATTATGCTGATGCTGATGCTGATGCTGATGCTGATGCTGCTGATGCTGATGCTGATGATGAGGAGTGTGCATATTATGATCTTAATGATGACGATGACGACGAGGATGATAATGTAGATGGTGGTGAAGAACATGATGCTGATGTTGATTATGCTGATGTTGGGGGTGATGCTGCTGCTGATGATGATGCTGCTGCTGCTGATGATGATGATGATGATGAGGACAATGAGGATGACGATGCTGATGATGGTGATGAGGATTATGATGATGGTGATGATGCTGCTAATGCTGATGAAGTTGCCGATGCTGCTGTTGCTGCTGTTGCTTCTGCTGTTGATGATGCTGCTGCTGATGATGCTGATAGTACTGAATGCAAGAC